AATATATATATATATATATATATATATATATATATATATATATATATATATATATATATATATATATATATATATATATATATATATATATATATATATATATATATATATATATATATATATATATAACACCCTCCCTGCCCAGCCTACTTCTGACACATAACAGCCACACAGGGCAACCACTCCAATAACATCAGGATGCGAGAATGCAGGGGCAGAGGAACATACACCTGTATGGAGGTGCTGGCTCGCCACCTGCACCACGCACACCTGGTCAACCCAGCACTACCAGATGGGGTGCACAGCCTGTACAAGGCTGCTGGCCCATCAAGGCGCATGCCAGGCATATCCCATGCACATACCCTCCCTGCCCAGCCTACTTCTGACACATTACAGCCTCACAGCGCAATACAATTTTGCATCCGTTTGTGAACCCCGTTGATTTACCCCGTGAAAACTCGCACCTGTAGCAAGCGGTGATCCATAAGCACCACCACCGTGAATGATCTCACCAGCGATGTTTCCTTGCAACGTCTCCTGCAGCTGTCGTACACCAGCAGCGCCGGTACGGTCGTGCAGGAACGTACTCCGCAGTACGCCAGCAACTTCCGGATCCGTAGGACCGATTGCGGAGTGCAGCAGTGCCTCTGGTACTCGTGCAATACATCCCATACGCTCATACTCCTGTAGAGCTTCTTCGTCCACCGCACCTTCGTCCTCGTCATTATGCTGAAGGAAACGCACCCAGGCGACGATGACGTTGCCTCGAACTTTCAGGCCTGGTGCACGGCGGACGCGATCCAGCAAGTCCTGTCGGTCTCGGACTTGATCCACGCACACCACCGTGAAGGCGCCTGCCAAATCCGCAACACGTGCGGGCAGCTGGCCTCGTAGCATATTGGGGTCGGGGTTTACAACTGCGATGCCATGTGACTGAACGGCACACGGCAACACCTCGGGGGGCCGGCCCGTGAGATGCACAATCATTAGCTGCTGCATGAGACGGCCCCGACCCAACAGCTGACTCTCCACAAACGTGGGTGCAGGCAACGGGTCGCCCAGGTGATTTGTAGACGGCACGTTGCCTGGATCGATTCGCGCCAGAGCCGCTTCAGGCACTCGGCGTGCTGCAACGAGAGTGGCGACAGGCGGGCAGCGGTTAGGCAGGGTTTAATGACAACGTGTATGACCCAGCTGGGGCATCTCGCCCATACAAATCAGGCGGCCCGACGGATCAAAGGTGCACAACAGCATGAGCAAACGGAAAAAGGACAGCACATGTAGACGGGCCAAAGAAGTTGCTCACCCGTCAGTGCCTTCTCACAAGAGGTGCAGATAGTGAATCGGTCAGGGCCAGCATCATCACGGAACATGGTCCGGTTTGGCAAGTCCGCATCAAGGCGCATGCAGAATGGCACCTCCACACTCCATGGATCCTCGAGGCAAGGTCGTGGCTGCACCCTTGGTGGGTATGGCTGCAATTCCGGTGGCACCTGCACCGGGGCTGTGTCCTCTGCAGTACCTGCCGGTGAATCCGGCTCATTAGCCCCATGACCTGCACCATCACTGTCAACCGCCAACACATCTTCATCCACGAATGCCGCTGGAGCGGCGCCAGCGCCGGCGCCAGCACTACTGCCATGCTCGGATCTGCTGACACGATACCGTGCTGGTAAAACCGGATCCGGCGGTGGGGGTGCAGCACCTTGGGCGGTGCAGGGCATGCGCCGCCAAGCCAGGGTACACGCATGACGCGGTACGGCGGCAGTGGACATGATGTCAGCACGTAGGATATCAACGTTGGGGATGTCCACCCAAGCATGAAGCGCCGACTGGTCTTCAGAACACTGCTCCGAGCAGACGGCACACACCCGTGAAGGCATGCGGCGACGCAGCGCGGCGGCCATGCTGCTAGCAAGCTGCAGGTGTGTCTCGTATGGTACCTGCCGCTCCACCGGAAGTTGACCGCCAGGCAAATCCTGCACGCGCCCTTCCGGAATGACCTTCAGGAAATCAGGCAGTGCAGGCCGGTGGCCTTCGTGCAAGCAGGGAAACCGCATGAGGTCCCGCAAACGCTCAAGCAAGCTGGCCTGCGGAAGCTGTATTGCATGCACCTGATCACGGGCCTGTGCATGTGCAGCAGTGTTACGCCGCTGTTCTGCAGCCCTGTGCTCCGGGTCTTCACGGGCAGCAGCTCGAGCAGCGGCATCATGCCGCTGCCATACGGCCCTGTACTCCGGGTCTTGGCGTGCAGCAGCTCGTGCAGCGGTGTCACGTCGCTGCTCTGCGGCCCTGTACTCTGGGTCTTGACGGGCAGCAGCTCGTGCAGCGGTGTTACGCCGCTGTTCTGTAGCCCTATACTCCGGGTTTTCACGCCCAACTGCTCGTGCAGCTGCATCACGCTGCTGCCCTGTAGCCGTAATCTCTGGGTGCTGACGGGCTGTAGTGTTTGACATGCCGCAGGGCTGTTGCTCTGCATCCGCACCGAGCCGCGTGCTCGACATAATTGCCCCTCTAAAACGAAAACCGCCGGCTAGTGTACCCAAGCGCTCACGACTACGATCCCCACCTTGCTGGGGTGAATCATTTGAGCGGCCCGCCATAACTGACGGATCCCGTATTACCGGGAGTGATTAAAATAGCTATATACAGGTGCGATATATATGCATTATATTCATACAGTAGCAAGGAAACGACTGCAAATAGCACAGCATCGCGTGGCTAGCTTACAGTGGCCGGCTTTTGTAAAACCGGACGTGAAGAGAAATAAAGCAGGACCGTACGTGAAGAGAAATAAAGCAATTGCTTATGTATGTGTTGCAATCACACTGCGGTGAACCGGCGCTCGCGAACAACACAGCTACACAAAAGTCCGTACAGCCAACATTGGACAATGTTGGACAGCCGAATATGTGCACATCGGCGCAGCCTCATATACCCGCGCCTAGACTGGATCGCGTGTTGAATTGTGCGTTTAACTGCGCGTCTAAGTGCATGTCGAATTGCGCGTTGAGTTGCACACTTAAGCGTGCGTCGAATCGCGGGTTGAGCTGTGCGTTGGATTCCATGGATCGGTGCGCGTCAAATTGCACACTTCAGTGTGCGTCGAATTGTGTGGTTCGGGACACGTTAAATTGCGCATCGTTTAATTGCACATCGAGTTGTGTCGTGGGTTACGCGTTAAAATGTGCGAGTCGGCGTATGTCAAATTGCGGAGTGCGGTGCGGCCAATGTTTTGCAATTTACACGTTCAATCACGGTGCGGTGCGGTGCAGTGCAATGCGGTGCGGTGCGCGGTCCCGAACGAAAAAAATAAAATAACCGAGCAGCGCCGGGATCGAGCCTGCGACCGCGGCCCCAACTCGACGTCGAAGCTAGCGCGCACGACGAAGCGGCGCACGTCGATGCTGAGGGGCACATTGCGGGGGCACAGGTGTGCTGCAGTGCGATGCGTTGCGTTGCGTTGCGGTGCGGCGCGGTGCGGTGCGGTGCGAAAAAACGAAAAAAAGCGACGACGACGGGAAGCGAACCGGCGACCGCGGCTCCCACGCGGCGACGGAGCTAGCCTAAAAGGCGCGGCTCCGAAACCGCGAACGACACGCCGAAAAAGGGCAACTTACCAAGCGGCCACCCGGACAGACAGACGGACGCCCCCCGCAGCCCAAGGTCTCCGTCCCGACGACGGAACGACTAAACGTCGTCCGTCTAACGTCGGGACTACGACGATACCCCCTATGAGTTGGTAGGGGCAGTGCAGCCCAGGATTAACGAATGGTCTCCCCATTAGTCCTCCTTCAGTCCACCCCTGCTTTTCACACACAGACTTTGGACACCGGCAGTTCAATCCCCCTCCACACACAGTGAAAGCACTAGGTAGCCTGCCCCTGACAGCCCAGGGTAGTCCCCTCCACCTGCTGGAGCTACAGCCGCCAACACTGCTCTGTGCTCCCCATAGCTCCCTGGATGCCAGGTACCCCCTGGACTGCTATCAGCTGCACATGGTGCATAGCAGTCAGTGGTGGCAGGTAGGGGCACCCTCACAAGGGTAGCCGCAGCCCTATTGCTGCAGATGGTGCAAAGAGTGAGTGCTGCACATGCAGGCGTGGTCGAAGTGTGGCTCCCCGCAGCCCTCCCTGGCCCCACACCCCATGCCTGCCGGTGGTGTGAACCAGTGGCCCACGCTGACTACAGCCTGCCACTGGGGCCAGGTGCACAGGTGTGCATATGTCAGCCATTGCCATTACACCACGCCCTTCACCACCGCCACACCGGGCACCACTGCTGCCACCACACTGGGCACCGCTGCTGCCACCATGCTGGGTGCCGCTGCTGTCACCATGCTGGGCGCCACTGCTGCTGCCGTGCTGGGTGCCACTGCTGCTGCCACAACTGCGCCTGGGCTTCATACTTTCATATGTCTTGGTCAGCGCTGCACTGATACGACCACTGCTGTGGAATGCAGCCAACTCTGAGGGGTAGGCCCGCAGGAACTCCTCCTGCTCCAGGTCAGGGGCGAGGCGGAGGATGTTGCTCAGCAGTATGTGGAACCAGCGAAGCCCAACCTTGATGTCATGCTGAGCCCTATAGTCCTGCTCAAATTTGGCCTTGCTGCCACGGCTGTTGCAGCGGTGGTCCCGGACCTGCAGATCAACACAATTGCATGGGAAGCAGGGGTGTACAGGCCAGCAGCATTGCAGCCAGGCCCTGTTGGCTGGCTGCAGTCCACATGATGACTGCAGCTGTTCAGACAAGCATAGTGCCTGGAACTTGACAGGTGCTGCACTGCTACCTCACACTCTAACCCCTTGGTCTGTTTGACTGCCCTCCTGGCCCCTGGTTGGGTTGTCTTGGTGGCCCCTCTAATGGTCCCCTCTACATGGGAAAAGCTCACAGCAGGTGCTCCTCTGCACCCCAACACCCACTCAGTTCGGCACCACAAGCAGTGCTACTGTTGACCTGTGAGTGTTGTGGTAGTCCTGTGACTACTGCATGCACCCTCCTAACACCTCACAAGCTTGCTTGCTCATTTTCTGATTGGCCACCCTGCTTGCAACCCCACTTTTCCCCTAGCCAGCGGCACACACTGCCAACAGTTTCCTAGGCACCTTGTTACCATTCCTCCTGTGTTTTGCAGGTGACCATGACACTGTCTGCGACTTAGCCTCCTGACCTCCTCCTCCTTTCCTTCTGCTGTGGGTCTCCTGGCCAGACACGCCAATCTCACAGTATGGCAACTTGCCCACCCCCCACACACACCCCAACACCCTTCACTGGCATTCTTACCTGGATGAACCAGTCTGCCTTCAGCAGCCCATCTGGTGTAAGCACCAGCGCAGATGCCATGGCTTCCAGGAGGCTGTGCAGGTCCTCGTAGCTGTCAAAATCCTCATCCATGCAGCGCTCGCCGAGCACAACCAGTGGTCTGTGCATCGGGGAGCTGAGCCACGGGCTGAGCTGACTGCGTGGGGCTGTTGGTGGTGGTGGCGGGACAGTAGTTGCCACAGCTGCACATCAAGGAAAAACAAGGGTGCATTATGCAGGTAGGTCATTTGTCATGAAATTGCAGGGGTGTGCTAATTTTAAAGGAACACACAGCTTACTAATGGTTCCGAAGACCATGACCATGCATGGTATGCAGTGTACCAAAGAAGCACGTGGCATTCTCATCCAGAACCATTGCAGTAGAAGCCGTGGAGTTGGCCGTTCAGCATGCAAAAAGTCAGAAAGGCATGCAGCTACCAAAGCCACCAGACGGCTTAGACTCAAGAAAAAACAAGGTTTCAATATACAGCTTAACAGTAACTCAACAGTAGGGATTAGACTCAAGTGCCCAGTAAAGGAACAAATAGCTTGCTAACAGTGAGGGGGTGTTCAGATGACCATACAGATCGGTTAGGGACCTTGAAGGTCTATCATGCAGGGATAGAGACATCGTGGATGGACTACAATAATGCTCTTCGGCAAGCCGCTGTGGATCAATATGTCTGACAACTCCTGCTGCCTACATACGGACTAAGTTAAGGATGTCCTCACAAGAACGACAAGTGAACGCCAGCGCCTCCCTGGCCTATCAGGGCGGCCTCCCACTTGTGCAGAACGTGTAACTTATAACTTCAATGCAACAATTTGACTCCCGAGTCTGCGCAAACCTCGCGCAAAATATGCGCTGACACTACTCACTGTGGCGGAGCATGATGTTAAAGAGCAGCTTCTTCTCTTTTTCTAGCTGTTTTACCTCACCGCGCAGCTTCTTTTTCTCATTGCGCAAGTACGCTAAGCTGTCCGTGCACGTCGCTATCTCTTCAGCAACGGCCTCAAGGACACCCTCAACCTTCTCCATATCCGCCTCTAACGCGTCTATCGCCTTCGCTAGATCACGGACAATGTCACAGTCCATGGCACACTCACGCGATACAATACTCTGCAGGACTAATATTATACGAAAAGCAAGAGTTGAAATCGTCTTCAGATTTGAGGAGCAGCGAAGGCAACCCTTTCGATAGGTAACCATGGCTTTATCTTTAACATAAAGCTAAAATCCAAACATAGGCCCCATAGGTCCGCGGGTGTTCCGTACTCCGAAAGTTCCGGTGAGACTAGATGTGTCGAATTGGCTGCGATAGATAGATTCCGCCAAGAAACCCGATATTGGCAGACAGTTATACTGAGTCTGAGACCTGGGATTGGCCGACAGGCTGACGAACGTGCTTTGCAATCTTTGTGGGTCTTGAATCCTGCTAGTCTTGAAGCCCTTCCGCGTGTTACTCATGATCATTTCTCAGACTGACACGTTTGTGCCTGGCGCAAGTGGTGGTGAGCACCCGCATCGACGCATGTTTTGTTGACTTCCGGCCAGAACACTAACGGCTGTACGACAGATAAGATGGAATGTTTGGTATAAAGGAGATGATGTTTTGACTGAAAGCTTGTTCTGTGATACCTGTAACGGTTAAGGTTGGCTTTACCTACACAGTTCCACTCGCCTATATCTTAACAGGTTATGAGCCCCGCGCCGCCGCGGCAAGCGAGCGAGCGTTTTGCTTAAGTACTGTGTCCGAACTTGCTGGCTTAGCAACTCTCTGGCTTAGAGATAGGACGAGTATGGGGAAAGACAATGATGTAGAGCGTTTAGATAGCTACGCCAACTATTTTCGCTGGCGGACGGCCATGAAGTACTGTTTGGCCGGCAAGGACTTGTGGGACGAGGCAGCAGACCTGCCGAGCGCCGTCGCCGACAAGTCCATGAAGGCAAAATCGCAGCTGGTGAAATATACGGTGCCCCGTTTTCACAGGCTGATCGATCAAGCAGCCGACTCTGCCGCAGCGTGGGATGCGATCCGCGCCGAATGCGTGTCTGAGATCGGAGCGAACATTTTGTTCATAAAGCAGAAATTTAGCAACCTGAAGCAACGGACAGGCCAGTCCGTTGTTGATTACTTCGAGGAAGCAGAGGATCTGCGTGAGCAAATGGTTGCAGTGGGCTCGAAGATCGACGACTGCCAATTCGCCCTGGCTATCTTGGGTGGTTTGCATAAGAAATTCCAAATGCAGCAGACGCTTTTTGCTGCCAAGCCGCCAAGCGACATGAAGCTTTCGGAAATCAAGGCCGCTCTACTCCTGGCGGAGCGGATGCAAGGTGACAACAACGCAGAGTGGGCCCAGGCCGAGGCCCTGGCGTTTAGCAACCGGAGCAGTGGGGTAGGCCACCGTGGCTTCGGTGGCGACTACCGTAGTGGAGCTGGTAAAGGCCAGGGAAATGTCAACGTCGGGGCGAGTACCAGCTCTGGCGGGCCTGATGTTTCCATCAACCCCTACGCAACCCATAAGTGCCATAAATGTGGTGTCCTGGGGCATATCAAGTCTCAGTGCCCGCTCGTCACAAGGGGCAACAACAAGGGCAACAACCGACGCAGCAAGCAGCTGGTAATGGCCCTAACCACCTCCACCACCTCCGAAGCCAAGGAAATCCAGGCAACAGCTGAGAAGTCGCTCGCCAAGCTGGCTTGGAAAGTCGACTCGGCCGCGGCCGTCCATGTTACAGACGACCGGTCCAACTTCAGCGAGTACGTACCGCTCACGGACGGCATAGTCCTAGAAGGTGTGGCGGGTGCGATTTGCAAGACGGTTGGAGTGGGTACCGTCCTGCTAGAAGCAGAGGGAGACAATGGCAAGATTAAGATTACCCTAAAGAATGTGTATCATGCGCCGGGATTAGGTCACAAGCTGATTTCGGTAGGCGAACTAGGTCTGAAGGGTTACCACGTGGATTTCCGTGGGCCGGTTGCTGTGGTTAGGCAGCCGAAACGTCTTGTCAGCCGAGGCCCGCGGATAAGGAAATACACAAGCCTGGAGTGGGAGTACGGGGAGCAAATCCCGTGTGTGCGGGTGGGCACCCATTACTACCTAAAGGCGACCCGGTTGGGCCAGGGGGAGTGCGTTCAAACCCTGGCGGTCTTGTCTGAATCTGCGGGGCTTTGGCATCATCGATTCGGACACATAGGGTACGGTAATTTAGAGAAGCTCGTGTCTGATGAAATGGTCACTGGTATGGGCCTGAGCGTGGCTGAAATCCGGGAGAAGGTGAAGGAGAAGAGTATCTGTGAGCCGTGTGTGAAGGCCAAGCATACCCGCGCGTCTTTTCCTCCGTCTGGGAATGCAGCAAACCGTGTTTTGCAGCGAGTGCATATGGATGTGTGTGAGATGCCTGTTCCGTCTATGGGCGGGTCAAGGTATGTCGCCACATTTCTGGATGAGCATTCGAGTTTTGCAGTGGTGCGCTGTGTAGGGACGAAGGGAGAAGTTCCGGAAGCGGCCCAGGAAGTATTGCAGCTGTTAGAGACCCAATCGGGCAAGAAGCTGCTAGCAGTTCAGTCGGATCGCGGTGGGGAGTATTTGAATAAGGCTCTAGGACAGTACCTTAAGGGTAAGGGGGTCCAGCATAACACGTCCGTGCCGTACACTCCTGAGCAAAATGGCCGCGCTGAGAGGCTGAACCGCACACTCCTGGAGAAGACCCGCGCGATGTTGCAAGACTCAGGATTGCCGCATGAATTATGGGCCGAAGCTATTACCACTGCATGTGC